TACATCAAATTAACATAAAGTTGTTAACCTTGTAGTCAAAAAGTAGATATCTCTTTTCTGGTGGTTGGGGAAGGGGGGAGGAGGAGAGAAAGCGTACTACATGGGTGGGAAGAGAGAGAGAGGAATGGAGGTGGCAGGTGAGGTATGGCAGAGGCGGTGGCGATGGCGGTGGCGGTGGCGGTGGTGGCACGTGAGCAAAAAGAGACCAAGACCGAGCTGACTGGCAATGGCACTCCTTGGCAACCGCAGCAGACTGCACCAGCCGCAGATGGAGAGGGGGGGGGAGAGGGGGAGGGGAGGGGAGGGGGGAGGGGGAAGGCAGATAGCCTTTGGACAAAGGCCACAACTAGTTGGTTGCGTAGTTGTGATGGTGTCTTCTGCGTACGGCTTCTTCCCTCTCTATCAGCAAAAACATGGCGGCAGCAAGGAAGCTAATAGCAAGGCAGGCGCAGGCGCTTCCTCGCGTTCTTCTCGCGCTTGGCAACTTTACGAGCGCGCGCCTCGCGCTCCGCGTCCATCCGTGAGCGCGCCTGTAGCGATGACGCCGATCCAGACACCACCGACTTGAATGGCCCACCGGCAGCAGACATGTTCGGGGAAAAGTACGTGGGGTGCCGCGATTGCTGCGGCAGCGTGTTGCTCGCTCCACCCGATGACGACGCGATATCAGAGGGGAGCGGGGACAGATCGTCGAGGAGCTCGGGCTCGAGGACGTCTACCAAGCGCCGCCACATGTCATGGTGGACCTCCCCAGCAGTCACCAAATTGCGCACACCGAGCGAGTTGTTGGCGTCGGCGACAACTCCCTGGACGTACGTGAGGTCGTCCTTGGTGACAGTCGCGTCAATAAGGAGAGCAAAGAGGCACGCATCCTCTTTGTACAAGTACGCAACCTGTTTGTACACTGCCTGGCTGGCGATGTCGCACAGCTGTTGGATCCTGGGGATAGCATTGTTGTTGATCTTGAGCTCTGCTAGATCGTCTACAATGCCCACCATCGTAAGGATCGAGAGGGAGGACGGCACGTCTGAGACATGACGCACGAGTTGTTGATTGTGAGGAGTACTTCCACAGCATCATGTACCTCGACCCACTCACCGGCGGCCAACTCAGCCCGGGAACCCGCGATCTCAGTCAAAACGAAATCTACGGCATTCTTCATCCTCGACGCCCGCTCTAGCATAGTCACCGTCGCGCCCCAGCGAGTATTCACGTCCGGCCGCAGCGACGTATATGTCGTCAGGACGGGTGGAGACGGTTTGTCATCCACGGTCACGAGACCAAGTCGGACATCCACCTCAAATGAGTTCAGCGCGGACTTGTATGCGCACTTACCCTTGATGTTCTTCTTGTTGATGAAGTGAAGCATCGTGCGCTTGGCCTTGGACGAGCGGGTGATAAGAGACGAGGCAGCGTAGCTTCGAAATTGCGTCAGTGCTTCCCACAAGCGGAGCTGAGGCACGGTCATCGGATGCAGCGGCATCACCCGGCGTCAGCAACTCTGACGACGACAAAGATACCACTTCCGAGAAGACATCCTCGTTTCGTCGTCATCGTCGTCTGTGTCCTCGCCTATGCCGCCCATCTCGAGGACGGTCGTATCACAGCTCGAGGGCAAGTCTGACTGCACCAAGGCAGGATCCAGCTCACTGTCAACCTGGATCGCCTTGAGCACGTCACCGACGATGAGCTGAATGCGGTGGGAGAGACATGGATGCCACTGAAGTTCGAGGAAGTGCTTTGCCATACGGGGCATGAGCACCGTCGTGTTGCTAGACAAGGCGACTACCTGGACCCAGTCAATCCCGAGCTCTGCTACACAGAGTTTCACCACATTGGCAACATTCTCGGCGTTAGTGGTGAGATATGTGGTGCTATACTCGGCGCTGCCCTCAGACGTCGAGCGAACAGCGTTCATGAGATCGGCGGTGAGCGCCTTGAACCCAATGGGGATAGTTGTGCGCATCCCCGCATGTAGAACTGGGCACACACACCGAGAAAGGTGTGGCGCGTCCCAGACGACGTCCACTCAGCATGTGGGCGAGGTACGGGTCTTCGATCGAGGCAAACGAGCGGTGCTTGTACAGCATGCTCTTGAGAGCGTATTCCGCAACGCGCGGCTTTGCATCCTTCAAGCGGTCTTTCGACGGGAAGTACGCCTGTATCCGCTGGCTGGAGACGCGGACAGGTCGACGTCCAGGACCGACAGCACATCACCGTGGGCGTTTCGGAAGTGGCTTTTGATGTTTGAGGTCGACTTGGAACTGTTGAGGCTAATCTGCTTGCCGCAGAGCTTGCAGCAAGGAGCCTCTCTATTCTGGTTCGACAAGCTTCCACAGGGCTGAACAACAGGGCATGGTGCGTGTGAGAGGGGTGCCTCTGTCGTGATCACGGTCTTAGTCATGACGTTTGTGACTGACTAATTGATGACTAAAATGTTTGACTTGCAATGAATATGACATTGGATAACGCACTCGGCACTCGGAAGTGTGCCTGTCCGGTGGATTGAGTTGGCAGGTGTGCCGTCGTGCGTGGGGGAGGAGGGGGGGGGGGGGGGAGGAGGGGAGGGGAAGGACACCTGACTCTCTCGAGGCTGGGGTGTGGCAGGGGTGGCAGGGAGAGAGAGCAGGAGCTGTGGCAACGGGAGTGTAGGCAGATAGCATACAGGCATGGGCTTGGGCTGGCTGTACGATGCCGAGAGCGAGCCGAGGGCGCTGTTCTTCCTCTCGATGATCCTGGTCATCGTCGTTGTTCTAGGCGCAGGAGTGGCGGCGGCTGGCTACGCCACTGAAGCCATGGCTCGTAGATCGTGCCTCTTCCTTGGATTGCAGAATGTGGGCGCCGCGGTGTTCTACTCGCTCACGTTGGCGGTCTTCACCGTCCAGCTCAACTACCACGCATACATCGACATGCTCGCCGACGTGGGTCAAGTCCTCTTCCTTTGGGCTGTCATCTTCCGATCATATCGGCTCACCATTGTCTTTGATGTCCTTGCCCAGCAGGCGGCGTCGGCCAGCGCGCCGCCGCCTCCGCGGCTGATGATCACTGCCGACACTGCGGTGCGGCGGCAGACGCCGCCGTTTGATAATCAAGCCCTGGGTGCCCCCAAGACAGTCAACACCGGCTCAGTGGCGGCGGTGGATTCGTTTATGGCACACGACATGCCCGGGCCAGGTAGCGCCAGGTCAGACAACGTGCCGCACGGCGACGACGAGGTGCGCTCGGTTGTCTCCAACGCCGAGTCTGTCCACTCGGAAGTCCTCGCTGCTATAGCCTCGCCGTTTGTCTCGCAGCCGACGGTCCAGCCTGCGTCGGCCGAGCGGCTGCCGTGGGGTCCATCGGAGCGGACGCGGCTGCTCTCGACGGCGTCGCTGACATCGACGCTGCTCGGCTCGTCGATGGACGGTGGCGGCGAGTCGGGCAAGCGGCTGTCAAACGTCTGGCTGCTCAAGCGGTACGTGCTGTGCGTCAGCATTTGGGTTGCCTTTGCCTGGGCATGGAATCTGGTTGAGCAAATAGACGCGAACGAGACGGTGCTTGTCGATGTCAAGATCGCGCTGGGCGTCTTGTCCGGCGTCGTGTACACGGCCATCTTTGGCTACTGCCTGTTCATTCTGCGGTCTGTCGACCGCAAGTTCACCCAGTCGAAGGAGCTGGTCATCATGGCGCTTGTCTGCATCATGACGCGGGTGGCCATCATCTGGAAAGTCTCGTCGCGGTCGTCATTCGACACCTTTCAGGCCATTCCGGTCTACATTCTCCTTGGCTCGCTCACCTTGTACATCCTTGTCTCGTCGCTCTATCCAGCAATTCTTGTCGTCCGCGAGCTGACCTGCCTACGCGCCGCAGGCTCATACCACTTCATGCAGCTGTACGACTCGAATGAGGCATCGCCCGCGACGTCGATGCGGGCCCGGCGGGCGCCGCTGTTTGAGGCGCGCCTCCGGCACCACGACGTCCACACGGTAGCATCGCTCTCGAAGAAACGCTAGGTCTCACCGTCAGCGGCAGCAGCAGCAGCGTCGTAGGCGCCAGCGTGCGCGTCAATCTGGGCGTGAGTGATGTCGACCTTGAGGACCCAGCCTTTGACAAACACGTTGGGGTTGGCCGGCAGGCCCTGGAGACCCTTGAGGACCGGAAAAACTACTTCGTTGCCGCCCTTGAGCAGCTCCTCCTTGTAGTAGACCATAAAGGCAAGAGCCCAGCGGAGGAGCGCCTTCTCACCCTCGTACAGCACCATGTCCATGACCCGCAACGAGTACGCAAACGGGAGGTCCGAGTTGGTAAACAGAGTCATGAACCAGCCGGTAGTGTACAGTGACGGGTGGACGTCGGTCTCGATCAAGTGTTGTGCGAGCTTGGGCTCGACGTCGGCAAGGAGCGCCGAGAAGACGGTAAAGTACTTGTTGAGGAGCGGGAAGCCCGGTGCCCAGAAGCCGGCAAAACCAAAGCGTGGACGGTCTTGGGCTATAGAGACAAGGACGGCAAAGGCCTCTTCCTCAGCCATGTACATCAGCAGGAGCGCGGCAACAAAGGCCATGCCCTGGCAGTAGCCGACCGCGGGATCGTAGGCCGAAAAGGCGAGCAGGACGCGGTGGAGCGTCGATTGACCAAGGCCATCAGCCTGCATGAACAGCAGGTGATCCGGGAATGTGCGGTTGATGTCGAGTCGGATGGTTTGGGCCCATGCATCGGTGGCGCGCTGGAGGAACCGCTCCACAGGGCTGCGGTCCTGCCGCAGGAGCCACTCGTGCCCGCCCGACGCGAGGAGCCACGCCTGGCCCCGCACGCAGTCGGGAATGCCCTTGCGGACTCGGGCCTTGGTCTTGGGCTTGACTCGCCACCGCCTCCAGTCGCGGAACATGGTCAGCCACTTAGTCGCGCGCTCGCTCTCCTTATCCTTGGACGCCTGGTCCAGCGGCCGGGACGCCGGCCGGCCTCCGACCGACCTCTCGTCGCCGGGCGAGGCGAGGACAAAGCCAAAGCGGTCTACAGCAACGGGCGCAGCAGTTGCGGCTCCGTCGCTTGCACCAAGCCCGCCTTCTGCCTCGACGTGTGCCTTGCCACTCTCCGAGTCATCCAGCACCGATGTGCCCGAGTCTGATCCGTGGCCGGCAGCAGCGGCAGCGATGACGGCATCCAGCTCGGAGCCGTGGTAGCTTACGCCGCCATCTCCGCCACCGCCGCCACCGCCACCACCGCCGCCGCGGGCAATCTCGACCTCGACCCTGCCCAGGCCGTCAGCAGCACGGTACGAGAACGAGTGTGAGGGCAGAGCGTCGGCGACAGCAACGGTGGCTGACGGGTGGACGACGCTGGCCGCCTGCGGGTCAAGCGGAGAGCCTGACGCCGCCACCGCCGACGAAGCGTAGAGAAAAACAGGCGGGCGGTAGCGGGTGCCTGATGGAGTGGTAGCCGTCGGCCGCAACGCCGAGGAATCCGAGCTGCCCGTGCCAGGCGAGAGCGCCACCAGCCGCGACGACGACGACGGCGGAGCCGACGAGCCAGGCGACGGCGACGGTGACGGGTTGCTGCCCTTACGACGGGTGTGAACAATGGGGCCGTGCTTGCGCCGCCGGCGGACCACAGGTCTACCTGTGGCAGACATAGGTGGGATGTAGGTGGAGGGGGGGGGGGGGGGGGTGAGGTGGCAACGCCTCGCGCAGCGAACAGAGCGGCTGGTGGTTGAGGGGGGGAGGGGGGGGGGGGGGGGGGGACTGCAGCAGAAGTTCGATGGTCGCAGCGAGGGTATGGAGAAGGGAAGGGAAAGGAGAGGAGAGCAAAGCAGATGCTAATGATGGCTAACCAGGGGATGGAATCACTGATGTAGTGCTGATAGGTCGGGATCGGGCCGGGGCTGGGCTGGAGAGAGAGTGGCTCGGATCGGCACGGTTTGGTATGGTTGGCTTGGAATCGGCGTGGGGATCGGCCTGTGGATATCGGCCAGGAATCGGCGTCGGATCGGCGTCGGATCGGCGTCGGATCAGCGTTAGATCGGCGTCGCATCGGCGTCGCATCGGCGTCGCATCGGCCATGGATCGGCCTGGGCTATTGCCTGGGGACTGTCACTCACATGGGATCCATGCCGATGTAGGTGATGCAGTGTCCGCAGATGGGACAGTACATAAAGGTGCGCCAGAGATCAAAGAAGTCAGTTTGGACGAGGAACACTTGCTCCGGCTGGGCGATGGTGTACGGTGTCTCGCCATCACGGGCCCTACGTGGGTCGACCGATCCTCCGCACGTGGGACAGGCCTTGGCCACTCTGCGATGGTACTGATCGTATCCGAGCTCTCCCACGTCTTCCACCACCAGCTCTGGCGGCGGATCAGGCGCTCGTGGGCCAGACACCCACGCTGCATGCATGGCGGCAGCCTTGGCCAGCGCCGCAGCTGCAGCAGTCTCATACACCGCACGCAGCTCGGCCTCCTTGCACGACGCAGGCGCTTTGATCAGCTCTTGGCAGCAACCCGGAAGGTCGCACGGATCCATAACACGCACTGGGTAGGAGGTAGGAGGGGGGGGGGGGGAGGGGGAGAGCGGTGGCCATCAACCTGCCACCGAGGGAGGTGGCCAAGCCCTTCCCCTTCGCCCTGTCGCCCCCCCCCCCCCATT